TCCAGGTGCCCTGTGGAAATGCTTGGGGGCAGGTGGATGGGCTCGAATTGCAGCTGCGCCACTTGTGAACTGTGTGATCTTGGGCAGGTCATGGGTCCTCTCGGACCCTCAGTTTCTCCCGGTGCAAATAGGCTGATGGCAGCTGCCTCTCGGTGCTGCAGGAAGGAATTAAGGAGCCTGACACAGAGTGAACACTCAGAAAGAAGGGGCTGTGATGGCCACATTGCCGTGGTTGTTATTATTCAAAGCAAAGAGGGGAGCTTCAGAGGGCAGTGGCGGGATGTGGTGAAGGGTTAACTCAGGAGGCTGGAGGTGTCCAAACCCTACACATTCCAAAGCAAGGACTGGCCCTTGGCCAGCTCCTGGGAGGCAACCTCTAAGCCCTTGGAATGTCCTGCCTGACAAGAGTGTCTCAATTTACCTGGGGCCTTGGGCCACTCGGGATCAATTTGACCCCTGGAGGGGCTGAGACTAAGGTCAGCTGCCATGCCTACATGACGGATGCCAATAAAAACCCTGGACACCAAGGCTCATGTGAGCAACCCTGCTGGCAATACTCCTTGCATATTGTCGCACATCTTTGCTGGGAGAATTAAGCACTGCCCAGATGACTCCACTGAGAGAGGACAGCTGGAAGCTCACACCTGGTCTCTCCTGGACTCTGCCTCATGTGCCTTTTCTTTTGCTGAATTTAGTCACCATCCTTTTGCTAATAATATTAATAACTTGTTACAGAGAGTAACAGCTTTTCTGAGCTCTATGAGTCCCTTGAGTGAAATCATTGTACCTGAGGGTGGTCTCGGGGATGTTCAACACAGGCAGGTTCCTGGGAGGCGAAGGAGGGGAGAGCTGAGAATGTGCCTTCTGGACACTACTCTTTTCTGGAGTTGCGACTCTTTTTGGATGCTCCTTGTCTATGCCTCTCACTGGCTCCAGTTCTTCTTCCTGATTTCTCAAGGCTGGAGCCACTCAGGGCTCAGTCCCAGGCCTCTTCTCTTCTCTGTCTACACTTGCAAAGGACTGAATGTTTGTGTCCCCCTAAAATTCATATATTGAAATCCCAAGCCCAAATGTGATGGTATTAGGAGGTGAAGCCTTCGGGAGGTAATCAAGTTATAAGGGTGGAGCCCTCATGAACAAGATCAGTACCCTTATAAAAGAGACCCCAGAGAGCTCTCTTGCCCCCTTCTGCCTTGTGAGGACACAGCAAGAAGGTGCCACCTATGAACCAAGAAGCAGGCCCTCACCAGACACCGAATCTACTGGCACCTTGATCTGGGACTTCCCTGTCTCCAGAACTATAAGAAATAAATATTTCTCAAGCCACTCGAACTATGGTATTTTTTTTATAGCAGCCTGAACAGTTTAAGACAACATTAATTTCCTTGGTATTAGTACCATCTAGATCCTCCCAGAGCGGATTCTCAGCCTAGACCTCTCCCTTCCCCTCCAGATCCACATATTCGAGTCCATCTCTCTACCTCGCTGCCTAAGAGGCAGCTCAAATTTCTACGCCCACAACTAAGCTCTCAATCCTCCTGGCAGATCTCTCTCCCCATCTTGCACCAGGGTCTTCCTCATCTCAGTAAATAGCACCTTCATCCTTTAGGAGGCTCAGACCTGAATGGCTGGAGGCACCCCCTGACTCCTCTCTTTCCCTTACCGTTCCGCCCCCACAGCCAGCAAATGCCGATGCCTTCCGACACAACCCACATCTGAACACTTCATGCCACTTGCATTGCTGTTACTCTTGCCGGAGCTTCCATTGTCTCTCACCTGGACAAACATAATAGACTCTTTCATAGGCCTCTTTGCCTCTGATAGTCTGTCCCCTACGTGGCAGCCAGAGGAACCCTGATAACAACTAGCTCAGCTCACAGCCCTCCTCTGCTCAGAGCCCTCTTATGGCTCCTGGCTCACTCAGAGTCAAAGCAAAGTCCTCATCGTGGCCCACAAGGCCCAGTGCAATCCACCCCTATTCCCTCTCTGTCCTCATTTCCCACCCTCCCTGCTCGCTCACTCTCCTCCAGCCACAGTGGCCTCCTCACCATTCCTCAACACTTCAGGCCCACTCTCACCTCAGGGCCTTTGCACTTGCTCTTCCCTCTGCCTGGAGCACCCTCCCACAGACATCCATCAGGCTGGTTTCCTCTCCTCATGCAGGTCTTAGCCCGCCAATCACCTCCTCGGAGAGCCCTTCCCCGACCACTCTGTCTAAAACAGGCCCCCATCTTGTCCCTCTTTACCCTGCTACTCTACTTCACTGTTCTTCATAGCACTGACCACTACGGGGCATCCTATTTTATATTTATTTTATTTCTTGTCTCCCAGATTGGAAGGTTGGTTCCATGAGGGTGTGGCTTCATGTGTCCCATTCGCTGCTGAATCCCCAGTGCTTAGAACAGGGCCAGGCTCCAAGGAAGTGTCAGTGAGTAAATGCTGAACGAGTGGTTGAGCAAACAAGTGCCATCGGGCTGGAGGGGCCCTGTCCTCACCTGCAGCTGGGCCAGGATGTGGTGGTAGTGGTACAGGGTGCAGAAGTCCACATGGGTTGAGAATGCCTCCAAAGCCGCCTTCTCTGCCGGACTCGAGTGGAATTCCTGTTACCTCAGGAAGCAAAACTTCTCTGTAGGCCTTTTCCCTTTTCCCATGGGAGGAATTCTTTCCCTGGCAGCCCATACACACAATCAGAACTCTTAAACAAAATTTAACGTAAAATTTTAAAATTTTGTTTTGGTTGGTGGGGCAGGAGGGCGGGGGCGGGAATGATCAATTTTACTGAGCAAGAAACAGAAGCAACGCAATATAGTGAAAAACAGATGGCTGAACTCACCAGCATTCACACAATGCTTATTGTGTGCCAGGAACTGTTTGCCAGCACGATATCATCCTCCAGAGGATGCAAGGAGGTGGGAGGAATTATAAACCCCATTTCTTCCGAGAGAGAAACTGAGACTCAGGAAAGTCACTTGCTGAGGGCCACAATGTCCTCGTGAGTTAACTCCAATCTAGGCCTGTCTGACTACAGAACACACATATTGAACCACTTCTTTGTGTTTCCTATTTCAGTGCCTTGGGTAAATGTCTTCACCTCTTGAGCCTCAGTTTCCCCATCAGCAACAGAGGATCACAGCCCCTTTCTCAGAGGGTGAGAATTTGATGAGATTATATGTGTCCATATATATGCATGTGTGTTTATGTGAGTGTATATATAGTACGTGTGCGTGTGTCTAGCACAGCACTTAGTACATACAGTAGGTGTTCAATAAATGTTAAATGAATGAACAACAATCCTCAATAATGACAGGTATGGGGATGGTGGTGGGTGTAAGAGCTCAAGTTCTGGAGCAGGACCAGGACTAGGTGAGGCAAATAAGGCATCCAACTCACTCTGCGGGTTGAGCAAATGCCTCACTCGCCTCACCCGAGTCCTGGCCCACCTCTGGAGTCAGATCACTTCGGTTCAAGTTGGGCCGCTATGCTGTGGCCTTGGGTGAGTCACTTTTCTTCAGCATGCTTTAGTTACCTTATCGGTAAAATAAGGATGACGGTGGTTCTCTCTCTTACTGGGTTGTTCTGATGATTCAATAATACGTGAAAAATGTTTGTCACAGTGCCATAGAGAGAGAGGTCAAATAGTATAATAATAATTACGACTATAGTTTCGTGACGACGTAGATATAATTAGTAGGTGGTAGAAATAGTAATGATGAGGATGATTATTATACCCATTTTACAAAGGGAAAAACATGCCCCAGGGAGCGCCTGTTCAAGCCCCCAGAACATTCCTGAGTCAGGAATGGATGCTTCATCTGCATCTCAAAGACCTGCCTCAGCTTTCCAACTCACCTTACGCCCACTTGGGACTATGAGGGGATCAGAAACTACAACTCCCAGGAAGGGCCAGGGCAGCCCTCTGCAGCCCGTAGGGGGGGAGGGGGGGGCCTACCGCCGTGAAGCCTGCCGGGAATTGTAGTCCCCAGGCTCTCGGACCCGGGACGAGCGGTACCTGTATCAGGAGGCGGAGCAGCTGCTCCTTGGAGAACGGAATGAAGCGCTCGCGGTACTGCTGGGCCCAGTCGCGGGGCTCCTTGGGGTTCCACATCTTGCGATACTCCCCCATCTTGGCCGCCAGCGACGACAGGGCCCGGGGGGTCCAGAGGAGCGCGGGCAACAGGGGCCCTACTCGGACCCCGGACCCCCACACCCCCCGGGTCACAGGCAGCATGGCCAGACCCTTTCCCCAGAGCCTAAACCAGAGAGAAATAGGCAGGGGTCAAAGGTCATCTGGAGGAAAAGCGCCTTCTCCACCTCCACGTCCCGCCCGCTAGGGGACGTCCCTACCTCAGGCTGGGAGCAGAGCCTATCTGCCAGTCTCGTGTCGTAGCCCCTCGTGTCCGTCCCCTCCCACACTGCTCAGGGGGCCTGGGTCTCAGATAGGGGCCAAAGGTCTTAGGCTCCGGGGTGTTTTGCAGGCCCAGAGATCCTGTAGTCGTACAATTGTTCAGGGTCTAGACGGCGAAGTGGATCTCAGGAGAATAGGAAATGCTCAGAAAAGCTACCTAGGAGGTGCAGGGCCACCCTCCCTTGGCCATGCAATACCCCGCTCTCTCCCTCACCTTAGCCAACGCTGGACTGTCATTGAGTCTCCTACGCATGTGCAGGAGGGCGTCCTAGGCCCCCGAGGTTTGGCTTCAGCCGGCAGTACAACGCATGCTCAAAGCCTGGGTCAATGACAGTTGTGCATTTCTCCCCTCTCTCCCTATCTCAACTGTGCATGCGCCGTCTGCCCGCCTTGCCCCCCTACCAGCCTCGTTTGGGCTCAGCGCATGCGCCGCAGAATTGTCTCCTTGTCGGCTTGCTTCAAAGGGAAGGGGCGGGGAGGACGCGAGACCCCTAGAGGGATGGGGCGGGGCAGGGCTCACGCGCGCCGCCCGCCAACGGCGAGCAGCCCAACGTCCGCTGAGGCCACGCCCCCGCCCCGTCGGCTCCTGTGTAGGCAGTAAAAGAAAGGGGGCGGGACTTGGGCACAGCCAATCAGCTGTGGAGGAACGAAAAGGCGGGAAAAAGCGGAACCAAAAGAAGGCTGAGGCGGCGCCCGGGACCGGGAGAGTAGGACGGGCGGAAGGAAGAGCGGGCCTCCAGGTGACAGAGACTGGCCCACCAGAGTAGGGGTGGCCCTTTGTCAGGCAGAGTCACCCCCAAGCCCCAGCACCCCCATTCCACGTCCTTAAAGGGGAGACCTCGATTCTAAGAAGGTAGCCTAGTGCCGGGGGCATGGCCGCCTCGTTCTGAGGGGACAGCTCAGTTCTCAGATTCCCCACAGATCTGAAGTCCAAACTCCCAGCTTGAGGAAATACACTTTTATGAAGATGGAGCCGCATTCTAAAGGGAGGCCCTTGTTCTGGGAAATAGCTCCAAATCGCAAGGACAACTTAAAATATACCCTGAGGTGCCCGGGTTCCCCATTGTGGGTACTGTCACCCCAAAACCTGAACAGGATTCCGCTGGTTCAGACCTCCCAGGGGTTCTGACCTTGAATGGGGCACCCCCTACTCCCCAGAAAATCCCCCATGTGTCCTCTGGCAAAGAACGTGGGCCTTAAACTGGGCCCTCCTGCTCCTGTGTCAAGGGACATGGCCCCCAATAGCCCAGCCCTCTCCACGCCCCTTCTCCTTGGCCTGGGAGCTCCTTACCCTGCACACCCCCTCCGGGACCCCCGGCCCCCCTCAGCCGGTGTTCCTGACTTCTGGAGCTTGAAGCAGCCTCTTCACTGTGTCCCCCACTCCTGGGACCCCCAGCACCCCCCTCAACCCACACCCCCATTCCTAGGACCCCCAGAAGTCCCCTCACCCCTTATTCCCAGTTCCTGGGACCCCTGTAGTCCCTTCAGCCAACACCCCCCACCTCTGGACTCCCCAATAGCCCCCTTACCCTGCACCTCAACTCATGAGATCCCCAGCACCCCCAACCCATGCTCTCCACTCCTGGGACCCCTGCACCCCCGACTCCAGCCTCCCCCATCTGTGTCGTCCTGCACAGCCGAGCCCAGGGTGGGCCTGGAACCCCAGACAGCGGCACCCAGCAGGCGGCACCCAGCACCCCTGCTCCCGCCTCACAGGGCCCCAGGAGGAGAACAGCCACCATGCACATCCCTGAAAGCCTCCAGGACCTGGCTGACAGCGAAGCCGTGCAGTTTCTGAAGAGGCCCAAGACCATTGCACGAATCTTCGCAGGGGTGAGGCCTCCTGTTGCCCGCCTGCGCCCCTGGGTGACAGGAGACAGACTAGGGTGGGAAGGAGTGGGGGGGAGGAAGCGTCAGATGGGAGATGAAGCAGAAGGGAGCTAACAACTGCCACCTGTTATTAGCAGTTATTGACTCTCAGAGTAAGAAACAACCCCCCAAAGTAGGTGCTATGTGCCCCATCTTTGAAATAAGAAAGGAGAGGATCAGAGAAGTACATTTTTTAAGTCTGTGCTGTCCAAAGGGGTAGCCACAGCCACATGTGGCTGCTTCAATTTGCACTCATTAAAATATTCTGTTCCTCAGTCACAATAGCCACATTTTAGGTGCTCAACAGCCACATGTGGCTGGTGGCTCTCAAATGGGACAGCACAGATATGGAACATTTTCATCACGCCAGAAAGTTCTATTGGACAGCATTGGCTAATGTCACAAAGTAAGAGGCAGAGCCAGGATTGAAACTGGGGTCTGTGAGATGCCAGAGCCCATTCATTTTCCACGTCTCAGGTAGGGGAGGGAGGAGGAGGAGAGAATAGGGGTCGGGGCCTCTAAGAAGGGAATATGTAATGTAGACCTAAGCTACCAGATGGTGGGTAGTCACTTTGCGCCAGGCACTGTGCCAAGGGCTTTACATGCATTCCCAAAGAATTTGAATACCTGGAGTCAAATCCTCATTCAGCCCAGACTTTGCTGTGTGACCTTGAAGCAATCACTGCTCCTCTCTGGACCTCAGTATATGAGGGGTTAGAGCTGTGGCTGTGGACTTTAACCTGTGCTGCTTCCATTGCTACTGAAGGAATTGGAAACTGAGGCCCAGGGAGAAGATGAGACTTGATCAGGGTCATAGGAGTAGGTGGAGTCCCCAGGGTCTCCCCCTAGATTCCTAAACCAGAATATCTCCTCCCTGCCCCTTCTGCAGCCTGAGGTTGGAGAGGGAGCAGATAGGCCTGGCTGAGAATCCTGGATAGCCATGCACTGCCCATGCAGGGCGGCATAGGCCTTGGCCACCCCGATGTGATTGTCAGCAGCACCACCTTTCATTCTCAAAATGCCCTGTTTTATTTAATAGTTTGCATGGCCACCCTATGTCTGTGTGACCTTGAGCCAGTTACTTGATTTCTCTGAACCTCATCTGTGAAACGAGGATCCTAACACCCTACTCATAGGAAGGATACTTGTGAAAATGAAACAAGGTAATGCCTATAAACTATTTAGCGTGGGCCTGGCAAGTAGTGATCTTTCCTTAAACAGTGATTGTTATTGGAACAAATCATTACTTGTGAGCAAGGAGAAAGATGGCTTTTGGGGGCCTGGGGTGATGGGGACTTGTGTCCATTGTCCATCTCTCCCAGGGAAAGAGTGAAATTTCAAATACCACATCCCAGTGCCAGGTCCCTGGCTGGTGTTAGCTCCTCTACTCCTCATCACAAATCTATGACATGGGCATTATTATCCTTGTTTAACCCAAGGGGAAACTGAGGCTCACAGAGGTTGAGTGACTTGCCCAAGGACATCACCCAGCTGGTGAGCAAGTCAAACTTGGATCCACCCACTCTGTGTCCAAAGCCTCAGAAGGAAGGGCCGGTGTAGAGGGAGAAGGAGGCCCAGCTGGTGTGGACTGTGTCGGGGGGAAGGGGAAGGAAGGGCCGCGAACCATGCCAGACGTTCTGGTCACGGACTTTGCCCGCTGTCTCCATCCTCCCTCCCGCCTGCCCTCTCCTCCTTCCCCCCTGGCCCGGCTCCTCAGGAGGGAGTCTCTGGGCAGCTGGTGCTCTTGTCCTTCTCATTGCCGCCTGCCAGCTGGTGCCTTAACTGATGAATCTTTGCTCCTTCCCTGGGGACAGGCCAGGGAGGGCATGGAAAGAGATTGGACTCAGGCTTCAGAGGCATGGGTCCTTCTGGCCCAGCTGAGTCTCCCTCCTAGAGTCTCCAGTATGCTGGGCTCATGCCACAGTCTAAGGTTTTCAGGGTCAGTAGACAGCCCTCCCACCTGGAAGTCAGGAGGACTGGATTCCAATCCCCCCTCCACCGCTGACTGATCTTGAGAGGACGCTTCCCCTCTCTGGGTGAGTCACGAAAACTGCTGTTTTTCTGAGCACCTGCTGGGGCCCAGAACCCACCCCCATATTCCCCCTCTTTGTAGCATAGAAACAGACTGGGAAACTGAGGCTCCAAGAGGTGAGTGATTTGCCCAGGGCCACACAGCTGGCGGAGTCAGACGTGTCTGGCTCCTTCCACCCCACCATAATGGCTTCGATTTATCACCTGTAAAACAGAAGTGAATTAATAACCTCTACCGCGTGGGGCTGGTGCGAGGTTCCAGGGAGGTAGTGCAGGTAAAATGAATATGGACTCAAAAATGATCGATGTGTTTTCCTGTCCTCCACCTGGTTCTGCCTTAAACCAGCAGGGCAAGGCGCTCCTCCTCTGCGGACTCAGTTCTTCAGCTCCTAAACAGGGGAATCATCTGACAGCCTCCCTCCGAGGGTTGCTGTGAGGATCAAATGAGACTATGGATGTGAATACCCTTGGCTAATGCTAAAGTGCAAGGCAGAAAGAGGGGCTCAGGTTGTTGCTGGCTGTTGTTGTTTAGAGAAGGCAATTAAGGCAAAGGAGGGAGGAGAATAAAGGGAGCCGAGGAGTTCAGAAGCAGTCCTTTGCCTCCTCCGTCCGCACTCCGAAGGGCAGGGCGAGAGCAAAGAAGAAGCCAGAGTCATTCACTCTTTCCACACACTTTTGCTGAGGTCTAGTCCGGTGCTGGGTGCTGTGGATGGAGAGAAGGGTCCCACGTGGAGCCTGTGCAGGAGGAGCTCCACTGCTACTAAAGGGGAAATTTTCAACATTCCCTTTCCCTCGACCTGTCCCTCCGCCAGCCCCCATTGCCAGCACTGCCACCTCCAATCAATCACCAAATCCTACTTTACATCCTGAACGTTACTGTATTCCCCAGGGCTCCAGCCGCAGTGTTTCTCCCTTGGACCTCCCTACCAGCCTCCTCTCAGGTCTGTTGGCCTCTTGCCCACCTCCAGTCCATCAGCCACATGACCCCAGAGGATTTCTCTGGCCCCCAGGTCTGACCCTGACCATCTGCTACCCAGAATCTTTCCATGCATAAAATTAACCCCTTTCCATGGCTCCCCAAGCCGGGGCCCCTGGGCCTGGTGTTCCAGGCCTCTCAGGGTCTGGCTCCCACCCACTTTTCCAGCCTCATCTCATACTGGATCCCTCAAATGAGATTTATTTCTTATCCCTGAAGAAGCCCTGCTCTGCAGTATCTGGTTTTTGTCTGCTCTGCCTAGAATGCCCTTCCTCCTCTTGTCTGCCTAAAAACTCCTCATTGTCCAAGGTCCAGTTCAGATCTCACCTTATTAGTACCTCCTAAATCCAGCCCCACTTCAGTTCCTACTCAAACCTTCACTCTCTCCCCCACCCCAGGCCTCAGCCTCCTCCCTGGCCTCCCAGCCTCTGAACTCACCCCCTTCAACCCATCTCCACACAGAGAGTCTTTCT